ATAAGACAATTAAATGTGGTGTTCCTCAAGGATCAATTTTAGGAACACTTCTATTTCTCGTTTATATAAACGATTTAAATAATTTGTCTAACATTTTAAATACAATTTTGTTTAAAGATGATACCAGCTTGTTTTATTCCAATAAAGATATCAAAACATTATATCAAACAGTAAACAAAGAACTAGAAAAACTAAACCAATGGTTTAAATAAAACAAATTATCTTTAAATATTACTAAAACAAAATACACTTTATTCCATCGTCTACGTAAAAAATCAGTTATTCCCTTTGAACTTTCAGACCTTTTTATAGACAATAAATTATTCTGGAGGGAACATTTAGGTATAGTTGAAGATAAAATATCAAAAAATTTAGGTATAATGTACAAAGCTAAGCAGTAGTTAAATCAATCTTATTTAAAAAACATTTTCTTTTCTTTTATTTATTGTTACTTAAGTTATGCGAACATTGCTTGGTGCAGCACTAATGCGATGAAAACAAAAAAATTGCTTAGCAAACAAAAATAGGCTACATAGGATAGTTTCAAAATTAGATCATTCCTCACACACAAACACTATTTAATGAACACATTATCCTAAATGTATAAAAATTAAACCTCTATCATGTTCTTGTTATCACGTTCAAACTTGATGAAAATATATTACCAATCTTAATTTATTCAATTTTTGAAGAAAAAAAAATCACATATACCCTACTACATTTTCAAAATACAATTACATTCAATCCAAAACTTATTATTCCGGTACTAAATTCTCTATTGTAAACCGCGGCCAAAGTTGTAAAACATAATATTAAATAAGGAACTGAAAACTAACTATTTTCTAAATCAATTCAAAATAAAACTAAAGCAACTATTATCGTTAAATGGTAATGTGTTAAATTTCTTCTAACAAAGAGTCCTTAAATTATAAATCCATAATAGTAGTTAATTTATTATTTACTGTGTATTATTAATACATAATTAATCAACATATGTACATATACTTTGTTATTTTAAATGATAATCTTCTTTTTGAGAATTTTACTTTGATTTTTTCGTATTTTTTGGGGCTTAGTGATGAGACTAAAGTAATCTTCATTTTGTCCCGTCATGTAACTATTTTTTATAAGTTATCTATTTAAAAAAAAAAAACAAAAAAAACAACACCTTTTTTTGTTCAGAAGTTTTGCATGCTCACAACTCGGCCACGCTAGCACATTGATATACAAGAATTTTAAATGTATATAATGATTTTTTAATGGAAATGCTACTGATCAAAATTATAATAGATTAAATTAAAGTAAAACTGCAAAACTTGATAAATGTTTTAATATGTTTTAACATTACTTAACTTGAAGTTTACGTAAGTCAGATATTTATTTACTCTTTCGTTCATGTTTTCTTATTAAAAAAAAATGTTCCGACTCTTTCTCGCTATTACCTTGGTTGAAATGGCTTCCAAGAGTTTTGTGTCAAACTCTCTTGAATGGGCACTAACGCTGCTACTAACACTATTAAATTCAGCAATAATTTATAGAGATATCACTTTTTTTTTTCACCATATTATTTGAATGGCATCTGATTTATACAGGTTCATATTTAAATAATTGCTCAATCAGACAGTTTATAAATTCTAAATCTTGCTACTTTTTTCCAGACAATTCTAATAAATTTTAGAGACTTTTAAAAACATCTAGTATTGTATAAAAAATTTTAGAAAGTTCCATAAGGTTTAAGTTATATTGGTTAAAAAAGACTTTTAACCAACATAAAATTTTAAAAAACTGGTAAAATTTTTAAAATTCAACTAGAATAAAACCCAATTTTATTACTTTTGTGAAAAAACTCATAGATTTATGACACAAGAAAATATTTGTTTTTTAAAAAGCTAAACAGTCATAACCCTAATATGTATACATATAATATAAACATATCAATTGCTATGATAAATAGTAAAGAGTTGCCGAAATTGGAAAAGCTCCTTAATTGGAACACTTAATTTTATTTAGAAACTGGAACATATTCTATTTCATGAATATTTTTTCTTGTAAAGAAAATAATTTTCTTTATTTTTTGAAACTTCTAGTATTAAAACTTAAAAAATGCGCGTACATGAATAAAATTACTTTTTTCTAAAGAAAAAAAGTTGTGCGATCTAATTTTATCGTTAGATTTAAACGATTACAGAAGCTTAACGATGTTGAGTTTGATGATGATTTTTTTAATATTTATATTTTAAGGGTTCAAAGTCTTTTTGATAGTAAGAGCTAATATCGTAAGTTGTTATTTTTATGTAAATAATTTACTACAACGTCATGGTTCTATGTTGCATAGAATGGAACTTCAAAAGTTGCCGTAATTGAAACGGTGTCATCTCATAATAAGCTACTAGACGTTCGAATTATAAGAAAATTTCATTAGTCCGACAGTATAATTTTTTTTCAAATTAGACTATTAAAGACATCGTATTATTTTTTGACATTTGTTATTTTTTCGGAGTTGGTATTTAGTCTGTAGTATGAAATGATTTTTCACAATTTATTTTCATAGTCTAAAATAAAATTGATTGTAAACATCGTCAACAAATCATTTTATCTAAAATCAGTAAAAAATAAAATGTAAAAGTTTTATTAAAGTTATACATTTCTATTCAACGGATGTACATGTTAAACAACATAAAGTACATTCACAGCATAAGTTTTTTACTGTATATAATAATATATACAGTTTCAAATTATAGTTTTATAAAATTTGACTGAAAGTTTAGATAAATTATATTTTTTAATGCTTTTTGACAAAACATTTTATAAAAACTTTTAAAATAAAGCAACAATCTAATATTTTATTATCTTTTTCTTTATTTAATGATTAACTAAACAAAAATAATGAAAAGTAATCATTATATAATGAGTATATAATTAACAAATAAATATATGAAAAAATAAGCCTGTAATAACATTGTAAAATTCTCCTTATGTCTCTTCATAGTGGTTTGTATTTATTTTAGATGCAAAAACCACGCAAATATGGGAAATGGAAAGTTAAAAACATGAAAAAAGGCTGTTGAAGCAGTAAAACAAGGAGAAATTAGCTAAATGTAGCTGCTTATAAATTTTGTATTCCAAAAGCAACTGGTCATTGTTTCTTATTAGAATCGATGTATTTTGGATTGATGATCTTCGTCGTCTAGCATTTGACAAGCTGACAAGCTGACAACATCACAAATAATTTTAACAAACAAACACGAATGGCAGGAAAAAAGTGGTATTACACATTTATGCAAAGGCATCCACAATTGCCGCTTCGTAGGCCTGAATCAACATCAATTGCACCGTGCACAAGGTTTTAGAGCGAGTACAATCTTTTTTTAATCTACTTTCAAATTTATACATGGAAGAAAATTTAACTCCAGACAGAATTTATAACATAGATGAAACAAGTTTATCAACAGTAAAAGATGGTCAGATAAAAATCATAGTGCAAGGGGTAAAAGATGGTCAGATAAAAATCATCAGTGCAAATCGTAGTGCAAGGGGTAAAAAACGAGTTGGACTAGTAGTAAACGAGGAAAATCAGTAACAGCCGTAGTTTGTGTATCTGCAGCAGGATTTTTGCTCAACCATTGTTAATATATAAACGCAAAAGAATGAAGCCAGAAATAACTAATGGTGCACCTCCAAGAACTGTATTTAGTACTAAAGAGAAAGGTTGGATGTCAAAGCTTTTTTAGCTCAATCATTTCATTAAAGTTGTTTTCAACCATTACCATTAAAGATGGTACCATCAAAACAATCAAAAGTTTTGTAAAAACTTGATAGTCATGTTACACATGCAAAAAATTTGGCATCAATGAATCTAATACAACATGTTTGAGTGCGTATGGTATCACTACCTCTCCATACTACACACAGGCTGTAACCATTAGACGTTGCATCTTTGGACCACTTGGTACATACTATGATGAAGCTATGCGAAAATAGATGCGGTCACATATATCATAACCAGTAACAAATTGGTAAGTGGCAGAATTGTGGGATGATTATCTAGAGATAATTAAAAAAATTATCTACAGATAAATCAAATGAAAAGATATTAAAATGTCATGTTTCAGTTTCAACTTTATTTCATTTGCCAGTGGTTTCACTGAAAGTAAAAACTAAAAAAAAATCACGAACAACTCAAGCGGCTGATCTAACAAGCTCACCATATAGAAGTGCTCTAGAAATTACACCAAGAAATTAAAAGCGCACACTAAATCTAATAGCTTCCAAACATTTTAAAAAGTCTACAAAAAAAGCTCACACTAAATTCGATAACTGCTAAACTATTGCAAAAACCACAGGAAAATGAAGTAGCACTTGATTCAATCAACACAGACCAAATAAAATTGAGCACATCAAATAAAATTACATCATCTCAAGTGCAAAAGCTCCAAGAAAAAAATACTTATGAATTGCCAAAAAAGGATTAAGTATTTGTTGTACTTTTTATTTGTTGTTATATCTTTTAAATGTCTTGTGAAAGGATTTATTTGTCATCATTCCTTTGACTAATGAATCATCTTTTATTTAAGGACTTATGAAATAAGAATTTTTAAAAAAAAAAAAGAAAAAAAAGTTTTTTTTGCAAAATTTGTATAAGAAGTGTTTTTTGTACACCCCATTTTAACCCATTCAGTACGCTAATTCTTAAATAAAGAGCAAACTAAATTTCTTATGTTACTTTTTATGATTTTTTATAAATCAGTAATATTCATCCATTTAACTTTTTGTTTTTTTAAAAACTTGCTTATGTTATAGCCTATTGTTTCCACATAAATTTGTAATCTTTTTAGTTTTCTTTTAAATATTTTAAAGGTTTTATTTTTAAATATCATATCTTACAGTGTTCCTTCGTGTTCTGTATGAGAGAAAAAGATGTTTTCTTTTTTTTTACTCAGGACACAAAAATTTATCCACTTTACGTTAAATCAATAAAAAATATATTTTTAAATATTTACTTGTTTTTCTCTGTATTTTGTACCAAAAAGCTATTGTTGTGTTTTGTGTAAACTTCATTTGCCCAAGGACCACCTCTTCCATCTAAACTACAATTGTTTGATTGTCCAAAAATTTCATAAGATGTATCATTTCCTGCAAAACACTGTCCGCCAAACTGCAAAGAAAATATTTTGTAGCCATATTTTGAAGCATTTCTGTAGCAATAACCTAGAGGATCAGGGCGTTTTTGGTGTGATAAAGTTTCGTCATTTAAATTGTCTTCAAGCGGAATTAACGCTCTTTTATATGCGTCTTTCCAACATCCAAGTTTCCTTAAAAAATAATTTTTAAAAAATAAATTGAAAAATCTAATCCAGTCATCGCGTCAGATAAATGTGAAATTATTGTTATATCAAAAAATTATCTTGCTTTGATGTCAAATAATTTTTTCTTAATTTAACCTAGCGAGCACATGAGATCAATATAATACAATTATAATATCAAAACTTTACCAAGCATTGAAATCAAATTATCTTTCTATAATCATCTCATGCCGCTTTCACAATCATCGCTAAATACATTTAAGTGTAGTTGTGATATCACCACGCAATCTTAATGATATTATTACTTGATAAAAAAACCATGAACAACTTAGTAACCATGACTACGTATATTATAATTACACTAAATTCATCTTATTTTTTTACTAAAAATTCAAGTTTTAGTCGAAGTTTGAGAATTGTAATCTAAATAAAATAAGAATCATTTCTTATGATCTGTTATTAAGTACCATAACCTCATGATAAAGTATGATCACATGCCAGTGTCACAACTACAACCATATAAGTTTTATTGTGGTTATGACAACTCCACGATATCAAATAAGATCATTTAATGGTAACTCAGTCTACACATGAGATGATATTATCATTATAACAAAAATGTATCATGCTAAGTATCAAACAATTATCACATTATGATCTCATGCTAATTCCTCAGTCATAGTTATATACAATTAACTGTCTTGTAAACATCATCATGATATCATAAGGAGATCATTACTATATAGCGAATTATGATAAACTATTGGTATCATAGTTACACAATCTCGCTTTTTGACTAAAGTTTTGAGTTGCATTTTGAATTTAAATTTCGATATAAATACAATATATTTAGAATATTAATTTTTTTTAACGTTTGTTTTCAATTATTTATCTTATAATGATCTCATGCTAATGTCATAACCATAATTAAGTAAACTTAACTATAATTATGAAATTACCACAATATTTACATGAGATCGTTAATTTAAAACAAAAATTTGAAACTATCTTATTTATATTAAATTGATCACATTTTTTGATTAAAAATAAAAGTTTTTATTTATATTCAAAAACTGTACCAGGTATGTAACAACTACTCCAGTACGCACAATAACTATTTACCATGTAGCAAATTATACTGTTGCAATACTGGCACAATATTAAATATCTTAATCAATATTAGTAAATATATGCAATATTGTGTCAAAATTTAGATAATGTGATGGCATGCAAAAATTGTCAAAAGCGATATTGGCGTAATAATGGTTTTCCATACCTTACCAAATCTTTAAAATAGCTTTATGGACGCATACCTTATCAAATATCATTAATGTATATTAGGGCGTGCCAATTAAAGGACTAAAATCGAATACTTTGAAAAAAAGAAACTATTCTGTGAAATAGTAGTATCATTTTATATATGAAACGGATACTTATACAAAACTTTTAAATTAGGCGGTAGCTACATTTTTTCATTATTTTTATGTGTTTTAATTTGCTAATGTGTTTTTATTTATTAAAAATCTTTAAAATAATGACGAATTTTGTATTTCTGTTTTAAAAGAAATACAAGAAAAGTGGATGAAATTTTTCTCGGACCTATTAGGATTTAGTTTTTAAGACTTGTTTCTAAAATTTGTTTATAATTTAAAATAGTAAAAATGCTTTTTTCATTGTATAAAACTTATAAATTACATTTAATCAGTATTTAATAAAAGTTATCTTTAATGGCACCAAAAATAAAATAAAAAAATAAAAAAGGACATCAGCCACTCACTAAAGTAAATTTATTGGTAGAGGAAAACAACCTTTACTATCTGAGCTCCTTACTGCAAGGGATATTTTACAATATATAATTTTTTTTGGAGACAGGCAAGTAATCAAAATAAAAGAAACTGTTGATAAACTAGTTACTAATACACTCCAGTCTTATCTTCTCAGTGAGAAAAAGCTAATTGCATGTTTGTACATCTAGTTATAATTCAAGAATTAAAGCTAAACATAAGTATCTTTGGGACTCTTCAGCCTTAAAAATGTTAAAGAATCAATAAAGAAATTCATTTCAAAAATTGATAAACTCGTTGACATTTTGTCTTGCAAATGTGAAATGATGTTTTGTACAAAACATGGTTGTAACCATAACTGTAAAAAGCAAGTGGATTTTAAATGCATGTGTGTGCGAGAAAATAAAGTTTCTGTATTAGAACTCAGTTTTATTAAGTTACAGAGAGATAAAGAAGATAGTTTTGCACATTTCCATATTTGTACAGTTGACATAAACAAGTGAACAAAAATAAAAGAAGTTAAAAAAAAAAAAGAGAAGCACTATTGCGAAGTAGAGAAGAGATCAAAATAAAAAGGAAAATTAATCAAAAAATTCAGCAAGATTCTAATTTCTAAACACAGCTTAAACCGTTACTTATAGACTATCTTTGTTAAATATGAAGTTAATAAAGTAAATGTGTACTTAAAAAAAGACTATTTTTTATAAAAGCTTCATTTTGTTAATAACTATGAACAATAATAATATATCAATAAGATGAGATATCGCATTTAAATGGTGATTACAAAAAAAGACGAAGAGTCTTTAGAACCAGATTTTTCTAGAGATTCTGAACCTTTTAAGATTATTGTAAAAGTTAATATTAGGATGGACATAACAAACATTGCGATTGCTAGTATGAGACATCACACAGGTTTAAGGGAAACTGTTTAAATAACAACAGCATCACTAATTGATGCTAGAATTATAACAAAGATTAATACATTGCTAATTATTGATCACAACAAGGTTAAAAGGGCACAAAAGAAGTTAGCATTGGAATTAAGAAAAAAATTGATGAAGATCTTGAGAATAATAAGGTTTCCTGTGTTTGTTTTTTATGGCAGAAAAGATAATATAAAAGCATTAACAGAATTAATTGACAAATATATCTCTTGTCTTATCAAGGAAGAAATTTTGGGGTAGTCACTGAACCAGGTGGTAGATCAATTTCACTTTGTTCTTTGTATGCAATGGTGCAATGGGTCGAAACACAATTGATAAGGAGATTAGTGTGGAATGTTTGTGACATTCACACTCATGAGTTAGGGTTAAGACACTTAGTTACAAACTTTAGATGCCCCCACAAAATATTAAAATGAGTAGTCTGTACCACTTGGAAAAATATTAAACATAGCTAAAGATCTTAAAATCAACCCAAGTTTTACAAAGATTGATATTAGACCTCCATTACATGTTCTTAGCCCAGAAGTTATCAAAAATTTGAGTACTGATTAAAACTATGCTTAGCGAATAATCAACGCAATAAGTTCTAGTTATTTACCTGAGTAGTTAGCAATGCTAGAAATAGAACTTGTTTGCCATAGCAGATGGCTCACAACAGCACTAAGATTTTGAAGAATATGGGTTTCTCTGCATGGGCTATCTGGCGCCAACGTTCAAAATCTTGCATGGATTGTTGAATTTATAATAATAGTTATATAATAATTTATTGAATAAAAATAATTTATAATAACAGATATTTATACTTGAAACTGGTTTAACATAAATGTTAAAGTATGTTGATTCGAAATGATCTTCTAGGTACGCACCTTCAGAGTCTATTTTGCTAGCAATGTGTTATTCTTCTTTATTTGCACTTCTTTTGTAGTGCAAATAAAGAAGAAAGAGCTTAAGCTGCAGAGATTACTCCGCGGAAATAAATACAAGCAAACTAATGTTGGTGATTATAGCCATAGGCGTTAAGGAAAACCTTATATCAATTTTGATGCTGAGAATCTTTTCCGCTTCAGTGACTGAAACAATAATGTTACAGAAACACTTTTAATATGCAATCCTAAATCTGCTACTATTAAAAAAATTTTTTATGGCCCTATGGTTTTTCTACAATGGAGTTCTTATACATAATCAGTTAAGAGGTGTGTACAGATGGTTACAGACGCTGCAGGACAGCAAAAAGAAGGAAATCTTACATTAGAGCTCAATTCGTTAGCTGATGTTTGTTAATAGGAGCAAAGAAAACATCATTTGACTTCTAAATTATAGATAAAATGTTTTTTTTCTCAGAATTAGGAAAAATGAGGTTGGCAATAATTTACCAACCTCAATCTTTTAGAGGTCAGCATCAGGTCAGCAAAAAAAATTGATACAAAGGTCTTACCATAAAACATAGAAAGAGGTCGGCTATTTTTTTCCCACCTTAAACGCTTTAAGCTCGGCTTTAAGGTTTGCGTTGCCAAATGCCGACCATAACCCTGAGGGCTAAAGACTTTTTTTGTTTGAATATTTACAGTATAATTGAATTGGCACATGCTAAAAAGGCCTTAGTCAAAAAAGAAGTTAAGTTATTGATTTAAACCATTGCTATGTGCTTAAAGAATTTCAGTCACATGCATTAGTGGCATAAATACTGGCCACTAAGCAATTGCGAATGTGCTGGAAGGGCTTCAGTCAGTAACTGAAGCTCTTCTAGCACATGAGTTGGCAACACTGCCGTCTGTCAACTATTGCACACCGTACATTCTCAGCGGTCTGCTACATCATTTTATTGCTTATTCAGTCAATGTCTTGCCATAACCTATAATTTGGCTTTAGAGACGTGTTTTGTACTGTTGTGCATTTCGCAACGTTACTTTAATATTGTTGAAAGGATCATGAAAGCCTTTTTAGCATGTGCCGATTAAATTATATACTTTTTATAACATGTAGTTTAAAATAGCATTTGATTATTATTTCATATTTACTCAGGTAGTTTATTATTTCTTTAAACTAGCTTTTGTTATATCTTATCTTTGTTTAGACATAAGTTCCTTCTTGAAAAATTACTAAAAAGTATTTAAATATTTATTTTATGAACAAATATTTATAAAAATTAAAATGGATTTTACAAAGATCATTTTGAAAAATTTTCTGATGCTGTCAAAATTATGTATGAGTGTAAATTGCAAAATTATTTAGTTTTTCCTCAAATTTTGGAGAAGTTTATTTCTTTATAAAGCGTTTTTTT